TAAACCCCCTATACATCCCCCCGATAGGTCCCCGCCAACCTAACTTTAGTCCGTAGCTCATATGGATCATATTTCCATATTCCCCACGATGAACCAGATACAACCCAGAAAGTCAGTGGACCCCTATAACAATCCCATATAATCACCAGAAATACCCTCCCCCCCCCCAGAATGGTAATCATATTCACTCCCCCGCCGCAAGCCCTAAACCCTTCAACCCTAAATCCACGACCTTAAGCCCTGAACCCTTAACCCTAAACCCCTCCGAGGACGTATGAGCCGAGGAGAAAAGGTCCGACACAAACAAAAAAAAACTTAAACCACCAGTAGGTAAGTCATTGCGCAGGCGCTTCAACCTGGGAGCGAGGATTACCTCCTTCACATGGCGGCTTGCGACGCGGCACCCTGCACTGCAAAATGTGAACTATATCCTAGTATATCCCCCTGGATCACCCCTATAATACTCCCCTTTATAATCCTCATATAATATGGCTCATGTGATCCTTATGATTGAGGGAGTTGCCTGCAGCACGTGGGCAGCTGAGGTAGTGGTTCCAGCGCGGCAGGACTTGTACGGCGTATCCGTGATTGAAAGTTGGGCAGCTGGAAGGCCAGGAGTCCGAACAGAGTCTTGCTGAAGGGTTTGGTGCTGGCAATCTGCTAAGGGTCAGGAATCGCAAGGTTGAACTTATCGTTTGCTTGTGAGGGGAAGGCAGGGGTGGTGCCATCTTTGAAGTTGGGGTCTAGTGCACAGAAAGGGAGGTGCCATTCTCTGAAAGTAGTTGTAGTCAGTGAAGCAAGCAAGTGCGAAAATCTCAAATGCCAGGCGCCTTTCCCATCAGTCCCTCCCACGCTGTCTCCTGAAAGCTGTTCAGAATTCGGTCTGCTGCCACTATCTGCCACTATCATCATTACTACTGTGCTACTGCTACGAGTATCCCCGTGATTATCACTATCACTAGCATTCTAACAACAACAACTACTACTACTACTACTACTACTGCTGCTACTACTACTACTACTACTACTCCTACTCCTACTCCTACTCCTACTCCTGCTCCTGCTCCTGCTGCTGCTATTACTATTACTTTTACTTATATTTATTACTGCGATTATTACTGCTAGTATTACGAGTACAATTACCATTATTATTACTACTAAAACTCGTGCTATTACTATTAATTATTGCACCTTTGCCAGGCCCGTGGTGGGCAGCTCCTGTGGCGAGCTCCCACGTTTGGTGCAGCCGGATGCCACTGGCTATCTGGTGGAGCAGGACACATTAGTCCGAGGGTTTTTACAATTAGCCTTTAGGGTTTAGTGTTAGACAGAAGTAGCGCTGTTTGAGTTGTCACATTCACAGAAGCTGTTCTAAGACTTCTGCCAAGCAGCTTTTTTGAACCAGGAGGCAGGCAGCCTTGCCTGGGGTCTCTGCAAGATATGCGAGAATCGAGGCCACGCTCGCTGCTTGCAAAGGAAGAATGGAGAAGGGAGCTGGTTGGAGATTCTACAGTAGGCTTTAGGGTTTAGGGCAGTGCGCAAACGCACACCGGCGTCTCATGGGCTGAGGTTGGATGGGAGAGCAAGGCCAAAACCAAGTGAACGACCATTTTCTTTGGGACTTCATGGCGAAGCGCACGGAAGAAGTTTACCTCAAGTTGCTTGGCATCGAGGAGCTGGGCAGCGCCTGCTAGATATTTCTGTTCAGCAGTAAGTGCTTTACGGTAAGCATGCAGTTGTTTAGAATACACGGCTCTGTTTTTTGGGAAGAAGCGGCCACTGTACGCAGCCCTCTTGAGTGTCCACAGCCTGGATCAAAGAGACCCATCATGCCCCGGCAGGAAACACCACAAGAGGCTACAGTGGTCAGACGGGGCGCGCATCCACCCTTGGCCGCATCCCTGGGTCACGAAGCCAAGGACCTTCTCAAGATGGGCCGTTGCTGATCTGAGAAAGGCTACGTGCCTCCCTCTCTGTCTCTCTCTCTGTCTCTCTCGCTCGCGCTCGTTCGCTTACCGGGACTTGCAGATTCCAAGGACTTTGAAGTTCTCAGAAGTTAATTAGCCAGACTTTTGACATCAGCTGAATGCTAGGAGACTTGTTCGCCACAGCACCGTTGAAAGACTGGCTAGGGATACAGGACTTTTTTGGATCATGAGTCGCTGTGGAGAGGGATCTAGATTCCCCCTGGCTACTTGCAGACAAATAAACCTTCGTCAGATGTTTCGCATCCATAGAACTGAGAGTGCAGCAGCAAAGCTGACATACACACTGCATCACACTGCCATTTGCAAACTAATCCACGCGCAGCCCAGGCTTGCTTTTCGTTGGATTTGGGGGAGATGCTACTGTTACCTGTTTGGGAAGCGATTTTGGCTGGATTGGCACCTTGGCTTGGTCTTTGCTGCTCAACCATGAGACTCCCGCTGCTGCATTCTTTCGACAGGACTACTTGGTAGCCGTTGCATGTTCTCGAAAGATTGTCGAGTTACGGCTTCCAATAAGGCAAGATCGACTTCCCCAAAAAGAGTAATGGCTTCAGCGACAAGCATGCGCGTTTCCCCCTGGAACTTGCCAGCGTCGTCAGCTCAGCAGCTTAATCGTGTTTGCAGCCAGAGTTGCTTGAGATGTCAGAGGGCTGACGCCGAGGACCCCAAAGCTCACTACAAGCACCTGGCCATCTTCCAGATGTGCCTGCTCAGAACAGAGCGGAGTCTGCAGTGGTTGGCACACCCCAAGCCGGAAGTGATCCACAAGGCCATCGGTCCAAGAATGCCTAGGTCCTAGGAACAATACCCTCTGAAAAGTTACCGCCAGGATGAAAAGAAGCAAGTGCTTGTCTTCACCCGTGGGTCCACCATCTTCGCCTTCAATTTCCACACGAGCCAATCCAACTTGAGCGTTGACATCCCACAGCTGAGAGGCATTGGGTAAGGTGACTAGCTACTGCTCATCGCTTGCTTTCAGAGATGTAAGAAGCTCCCTGCAAGGTGTGACGTGTGTCTTCAAAGTAGTGCGGCAGCCCAGTTTTGAGTCGGCAAGGTTTCCCAATAAAACTCCAGCTCTGAGGTCTTGAGCACTCAAGATAAGCGCTTCGGTGGCTCCGCCACGGTGGCACAGGGAGATGCTCCCATTTCAGAAGGAACCTTGAAGCTGCTACTACCAGCCACTTGGCAGCCACTTGGATAACGTGCCACAAGCCCCCATGTTTGCAATGCCGCCTCGGGAACTTCCAGAGGCTCAGACCGGCCTGGTGCTTGCACCGGCGCAACGCGCTGACGATTTGCTGGTAGAGACTTGACTCGTCATTCGCTTCCACTCTCAGTAGATGTTCTGCAAGGCGTCACATTCCTGCAGATCTGTTGAATTCAATTTCTCGTTGCATGATCCTGTACTTGAAGGATAAGACGCTTCAGCTGCAAACGGCAGATGAGTTCGTGGACCTGGTTGCAGATGCATTTTGACAGCAGATTTGGCAAGGGCAAACATTCAAGTGGTGGGCCCTAATAATACTTGTCGAGTCATCTGCTCAGAGGATGTTGGTGCATTCACAGCCAGGAGTCTCATCTCGGCATATCTAGTGATCACTGATCCGAGGAGCAGTCAGCGATATGTCCTGTCAGCCAGAGCAGGCAGCTATCATTTGCGGCTTGAAAGCACTGGGAATTTCGCAGTTGGTGTTCTAGGTGGGTCATGGCCCTGGCTGCCCCAGGCCGACATTGAAGCCCACTTCAAGGAAGAAGTTCGGAAAGAAAAAGTGAAAAGAGAGGCCGCACGAAAAGAAGCTGCCGAAAAAGAGGCTGCCGAGCGACAAGCGTTGGAGGATGCTTCGAAGGTGGAGCAGGAGCAGCAATCCAATCAGAAGGCAAGGGTGTTCACATGCTGCTGCAGCGTCACAGAGGTATGTCACAGTCTTGAGCGCTTGGAAATTCTCGCGCAGGTCGTCGAGACTCTCAAGGTCCCTGAAGTTCGCAGTTGTCCGAACCTTCCAATAGCTGCAGAAGTTGGCAGCGGTCCAGAGCTTCATAAAGCTAGCAGTGGTCCGGAGCTTGCAGCAAAGGGCCATAGTGCAGACGCTCGGATTGCAGAAATGCTTTATATGACATCTTCCTGTGCAAGAAACGAAAGCTCTGCAGCTGTTGCATACAAGGACAGATTCCTAGCCTCAGCAGCAGGGCGGAACACCAATAACGAAGTTGGCCACGGCGACGAGGACTGCAGCTTCTTCCTTCCAAGAAAGGCTTTGTATGAGGTGAGGCCTGAGCTACAGAGCTCAGTACTCACAGCAATGGCCTGCGCATCCACTGTTTTGAACTTGACTCAACGATCTGCGTGCTGCTTGCTGCCGAGTGCTTTTGTTACAAGCGCATGCATCAAGGGCCTTCTATCGCAAAACTCCGTCCTAGCCTTTTGCCCTCGTAGCTGCTTATCACTCCAGCATGTCGGCCCTTGTTCGAAACTTTTCCTGAACTGTTCCGGAGATCACATGTAGAGTTCAAATGCGGCGTGAAGAGGGGATACAACACGGGAATCCGATTTCCACGTCCACTGCAAATTCAGTTCAACACAGGACAGTGATGAGTCTGCGCCAAGCAAGCGATGGCTCGCCAAATATTGGATGTGAAGTTGCAGAACACGTTCTCCCAAGACCAGGCACAGACCAAGGACCGCATGGCGCATTCCAGGGCATGAAGCACGAGGTGGAGGAGGTCAATGTGCCTGTGGATGAGTCGCCCGGTGACCGCGGAACTTTTGAATTCCCGCGCTGTACAGCACCTCCCGGCACCAATCAGAGACAACTCCTTTGCATGCATGCCAAATAGCGAAAGGCATCTCTTTGTGAAGCTTCTCACATTCTCACTGGTGACTTAAGCTTCAGAGTAGTCCCTGTATAACCCCTATGTAACCCTTGAATAGAATTAAAGCTTCCATTTTCTTTCCTTAATTATATCACCCCGAATCTGGTAGCTCTGCTTAGCTCTGAAGCTGGAGTCTGCAAGGTCTGCTCTGTGCCGGCGACGGCCCCGAATCCTGGCCTACGCGGAGTACCATTTCGAAGGCTCGCGGCCCGAGTTGCAGCTCTGGAAGACTGCACCAAGTGACATTTTATGTTTACTGTGCGGAGGAGCCCAGACAAGGAGAGGGAGCTTCCTGTGACCCGGCTTCAACGCAGGAGCCGTTCGTTCACCACGACAGATGCCGGCTTGCATCGAGGTTGGAGAATGGCCTTCAAGAAGGACGCGTCGCAGATTCAAGGCAGTTTACCTTCACCTCATCCGAAAGTAAGTCCCTGCTAGATTTTGATCCGCGCTCAATAATTGGCGATGTGCTGAACAGACCAACGTTTCCTTCGGGAGGTGGCTGACACCCACAGACTTACCACTCAGCCGCTGGGTAGACAGGGCCTTGTGCGCTGAGGACCGAGTCTTAGTAGAGCTGCTACTGTCAGAGTTTGATGCAGGGAAGGCCGGTTTCTGCTTGCACGGAGCGAAGCTGCTGTTTGTTCCCGCGTGTATTGAGTGATTCTGTCCCAATGCTAGCAAGGTAGGGCCAGGCTCAAAAAGCTGCAATTTTTTGGATTGTATCGCAGGCACGAATTTGATAATAGTCCAGGGAGGGTCGGGTCAGGATTGAATGGCGCACGGGAGTGGAGTGTTTGTGGGCTGGGGCAAGATTCAATCCATTGATCTTCACTGAAAGGGGAGAACACCATCATACAACCGCCAGCAGAGCAGCGTGAGCTCTATCTCTGTATCTCTCTATCTATCTATCTATCTGTCTATCTATCTATCAGTCTATCTATCAGTCTATCAGTCTATCCCTACGCCCTAAACCCTCTCTCTATCTGCGGGTCTATCTATCTATCCATCTCTCCCTCTCTCTCTTTCTCTCTTTTTTCTGCTTGGTCTTTGTGAGCCTTCGTAGAAAAGGCTGAGCCTTGAAGGCTCGTATCATTCTAGGTCACGCAAGGGACGCTTGGATTGTTCTTTCACTTTTTTCGTGTCATGTAGCCCGTGCAAGACGCTCAGACGTTCTGCAACATTAAGGTCAAAAGTCTATCAGCTTTGTGTTGACTCACTTGCTCACTCACTGACTCCTTCCCTCCCTCACTCACTCACTGCCACTCATGTGCTCACTCACTCTTTCACTGACTCTCTCGTTCAGTGACAAGATCGTTTTGTTCCTTCTTTCCCCCAGCACTTCCGGCCGCTTTGGATGGCTTCTGAAGGCACAGCTCCTGGGCCTGCTCTGCCAGCAGCGGGAGCTGCTGGACTTGACCGGCGAGGTCGGGACTTCAGATCCAGTCTAGGTGCGTATTCTTCTATGTGTTGTAAGGTCGAGCTCTACACTTCCTCTCCTCCATGCTTATCGCCCATGCCCCGGCACAGGGCACGTCTGAGATTCCTGCCGCGTTTATGATGCTACGAAGCCGCAAACTATAATCAGTAGCTCCGCATGTCAAGCACGCATCCAGCGGAGGAATCTAAGTTCTGGCATGGATATAGTTGTTTGTTGAGCAAGACCTGGATTTGTTGCTGACTTTCTGCAAGAGCATTTCTGCCTCATCCTTCTTTGCCTGGCTTGCTAGGCAATACTGATAAGTCGCAGCAAAGTCGCAGCAAGAACTGAGAGAGCCCCCCCGCCCCCTTTCTCCATGAAAAAAAGTGGCCGCAAGAACATTGTGGCGTGCTTCAATGCTCCATACACATTGTTTGCGGAACGTTGAGGCGTTGTTCAGTCTGAAAGCTGTGGCGCAGTGGCCTATCGCATTAAATGTCTCTCACCTGTGGTTGCCCAGCATGGAGGCCTGTCCAGTCTGTTTTCTTGGGTGCGGGGTGGAAGTCTACCG